CCCAGGCCCCCAAGGTCCCTGCTGCAGCAGCTACTCTGGCTAGACACTCCGGTGCCCGGAGACCTCGCCATCTTCCCCAGGGGCCTCGCTGACTTCCTGCAGGGGCGGGACTTCCGGGCGGAGCGCGGCGCTCCGTGAGGGGAGGGGTGTCCCCTGCTGGCGGGAGGCGGAAGCGCAGGGAACCGCGCAGCCGCCAGGCGTCTCCTTTCCAGCCAAGTTGTAAAGGGGTGGGTGGTGCGTGCAGAAGTGCGTCCCCACTTCATCCTGGAAAGCCTGGTGCAGAGGCCTCTGCACGCCCTGCTCGGAAGGGGCCGTGCTCGTTGCAGGCGTGCATCTTGAGACACGTGCACGGGGGAGAGAACATGCCCACAGGGAAATGTGTCCTTGTGCCTGGGCGTGCATTTACCAGTATTTATGGGAAATTTCTGCTCAGCTTGCTGTTCTGAGACTGGTGTTTCCACTCCACCCCAGGGCTCCGTGTGCCGTGTGATACCTCTTCTGAGGTGTGTTCTGTGTCCCCAAATCCATGCGGATGGGACATAGTGACCGTGGTCTTGTTGGGAATAGGGCCTTTGCAGATGTAATCAAGTTCAGAGGAGGCCTTGGGTCTTGGATGGGTGGGCCCTCGCTGCAACGACAGGTGTCCTTGTGAGAGGGAAATTAGACTCACCCGCAGAGAAGGTCATGTGACTTGCAGCCCCAGAAGGACCAGCCTTGCCCTCACCCTGATTCCGGGAGTGAGTGTCTCACAGGCAGCGTGGAGAGCTCCGGTCCCTGCCCACCTGCCCGGTCATTGTCTCCTGGGCTCCTGGACAGAAGCCACAGGAGAGGAAGGGACTCCCGGCTGCAGCCTCCAGCCTAGGGTTGAGGAGCAGGAGAAGGGGGTCCCTGGGGCACTGGCCCATCCCTGCCTCCCTGGGCACCTCCCATCCTGTGCCCTGACAGGTGGACCAGGGCTGATATCTGCCCAGAGGGCCTGAGGACCCGTGTGCAGGGCTGTGCAAGGGAGACCCAAGAGCAGGCGTGACAGAGTTCATCTTCCATCTGTCTCACCTCATCCAGTGCTGCATATACTCAGCACCCTCACTACCCCCACCCAAGTCTCTACAGGGTCTCCCTTCTGTCTTACACCCTGGAGCCCATGCCTGTCTCTCATCCAATGATTTCTCTGGTGCTAATTGGGAAGGGGGTGTCAGTCTCCCTTTTTGTCAGCACATTTAACAAATGAAGTAAATCCGTTTATTCCCACGGAGTGCTTGGAAGGGGTCTGGCCCACAGTAGCTGCTCAGTGAATGAGTGTCAGCGCCCTCCCCAGGCATTCAGGGCAGTTGGTGGACAGGAAGTTCTGTTTCTCTGGACCTGGTGAAAGGGCTGGTTGCAAACATAAAAGATTCCATGAATGACACAGGGGCTGACAGGTGGGCAACAGGGCAAGTGGTAGGACTAGGGTGCTGGTGTGCGCACATGTGTGCATGAGTGTGTGTGTGTGTGTATTTTGAAGACGTGCCAGTGTTTCACAGGTTATCATCCTAGAAATAGCTTAGGGAAAATGTATAAATGTAGTTTTTAATTAACAGATAATGCCAAATTTCCAACCCTCCTCTGTGCCAGCTCACACTCAAATTGAGACTGAGCACCTGTTCCCCACACCCCTCCTTCATTGACTCCTTTATGGGTTTTCATCCTTGCCCATCTCATAGGTGAAAGGTCAGCATGGAGATGCCCTGTGAGAGGGGATGGAAGTGTGGGGGGCCCCTAGGCTGCAAGGTCATCCCAACCCCCTTCTTCAGCTCCCGTCACCAGCCAGCCACCGAGCCACAACCCAGCTGTCTTCCCTCGCATCCACCCCACTGACCCTGGGGGAGAACATTCGGGCAGACCCTGGGAGCCGCCCAGTCTCTTCTTCCATCCATCCTTCTGACCGTGGTCCTGTGCAGCCCCTCCCGTGGGTCCAGTGCATTTGCTGGCAGAGGCCTCACTCTCACCCTCGCTAGCTCCTTCCGTTCAGCCCACCCTACCAGGCAGTGCCCCTTGCTGTGCTGGAGGCAGCCTGTGCTGGCTTGTGAGAGCCCATGGTGTTTCCAGGGACTTCAGAAGCCAGGTGTTAAACTCAGCCATGGCTATAAGTTAACTTATGTGAACTTGGGATTAAATAATTTATATTAAAAACAAAGGTAATACCCCGGCCGGTGTCGCTCAATGGGTTGGGCATTGATTGTCCTGTGCACTGAAAGGTCACTGGTTCCATTCCCAGTGAGGTACAAGCCCGGGTTGCGTGTTTGATCCCTGGTAGGGGTGTGTGTGGGTCACAAGTGATCTATGTCTCTCTCTCTCTCTCATCTCTCTCTCTCCTTCTCTCCCCATTCCTCTTTTTAAAATAAGTGAAAACATTTTAAACAAACAAAGGCAATAAATACTCTGAACTTGCCCCTTGTAATTGTTTTCCTGTTACCTATGCTCTTGGGTTATTCATACCTATTGTACTGCGTGGAGGTGATATTATAGAACAGGTGGCACCGCACATCTGGTCCCATCTTGGTGGGTAGGGACTCCAGGTTGGCAGCTTGAAATCAGCTGTAGTGAAAATATTTACACCGAGGAAACTGGCAAATGTTACCAAATCAGGGCTTGATTTGTTTTCTTCAGTGTCTGCTCTCTCTAGACTTGAGAAAGTGATGAAGAAAATGTTCATAGTAAAGATTAAAACTAAAACTGTGTTTGGTGAATATTATGGTATGTAAATTGTGTCTTTTTTTTTTTTAAGTCTGTAGGCATTACAATGCAAATACATTACAAGAATTAAGGAACTGCCCTAGCCGGTTTGGCTCAGTGGATAGAGCGTCGGCCTGCAGACCAAAGGGTCCTGGGTTTGATTCTGGTCAAGGGCACGTACCTTGGCTGCAGGCTCCTCCAGCCCGGGCCCTATAATTGAGGTCCTATGGGTGGGCCTAATCCAGTAGGACTGGGTCCTTATTAGGAGAGGAAAAGACACCAGGGGCCCATGCACCGAGGAGAGGCCGCGTGAGGACGCAGCGAGAAGGTGGCGGTCTGTGAGCCCAGGAGGAACCGATTCTGCCAACGGCTTAACGTAGACTTCCAGCGCCAGTGAGAAAACCAGCTTCTGTTATCGAAGCCGGCCATCTGTGGTGTTCTGTTATGGCAGCCCGAGCAGACTAACACCCCCTGTCTTTGAGCCTGCACGTCCTCATCCGTAATATCTCCCTCAAGGGGCTGTGTGCAGATTCAGTGAAATAATGCAGGCGAATTGCTGACAGCACCAGGCCCACCGAGGGCTCCGCATGCGCAACGGCCCTGTCCCGTGGCCCTGGATCAGGCCCCCACACCTGAGGTTGTCCCCTCACACCTCCCTTGGGGCAGAGGCATCCGGATGACAGGGGGTCCAGGTGGCCCCGCCCCTCCTCCTCTGGCCTCTCCTGATGAGGGTGGACCTCAGCATTGGCCTCAGGATGGTGGGCCTGGTGCACACCCAGGCATACCTGTACACACACACACACGCCTCAGGATGGTGGGCCTGGTGCACACCCAGGCATACACTGTACACACACACACCCTGTTCTGACAGTGGCCTCTCAGTCCCCCTCGCTGGCTGGCTCTGTTCCCTTACTTGGGAGCTTAACATAATCCCCCCAGGGCTGGGCTTGTGCCCAATCCACCCTCTGAATTCCGCCCCACACCAAGCTGAGGCCCCACCTGGGCAAGAGGGTGTTTGGGTCATGGGCCCCCGTGACCTTCTCCGCCAGTCTCAGGTCTTGTTGGAGGCAGTGGGCGCCTCGCCTTACAGCTCGGGGCACAAGGCTGCGAAGGCAGCTCAGCTCAGGGCTGCGGGGCAACTGGAAGCTTAGGAAGGGGAGAGGGTCTGTAAGGGGGAGGGGGCAACCTGGGGTCCTGGCTGGCTGCCCTCAGCTCTGGGTTTGCGTTTTCTCATGTCTGCTACACCGAACCCCAGCCTGGGAAGTCCTCCAGGGCTGGCTGCATCTGGCCGGAGCACGCCCCACAGCTCACACGGGGCTGGCCCGGAGCCAGAGGCCTACAGGCGTCTGACTGGCTGGGGGAGCTGGTTGGTGCCCAGGAGTTTAATTCAGGTGGGTCCGGCTGACCCCCTTTGGGAAACCTGCTCATTGCTAACCACGTGAGCTTTGTCGTGTTCTCTGCTGTGTCCCAGGGCCTGACAGAGCAGGCACTCCACAAATACATATTTTTAATTAATGCGGAGGACACCCCTGAATGGTCCAAACCTGGTGGAGAAAGCAGACGAATCAACAGACAACTGCACTCTGATGGGATCTCTCTTGTGAGAGAGATGAGCCCAGGGGGCTGTGGGAACGTGGACAAGGTCTATCTGGCCAGTCTAAGAAATCAGAGAAGCCTTCCTGGAGGAGGTGGGCTTTGAAGACTGAATAGGAGTTTGACCAGGCAAAGACTTTAGGGAATGGGATTTCTGGGATAGGTAGCGGAAGCAGGAAGGTAAGAGACTGTTTGGAAAGCAATCCAGAGTTGGGAATGATGGGAACCAAGGATGGTGAGGAGGCAGGAGACGACCGGGCTGAGGGGCACACAGAGGCCAGAGCTCTGAGGGCTGAGGCTACATGGCAAATTCTCAAAAGATAGGGCCCTCAGTGGAAAGGAGGGAGTCTTCTGAACCCCTCCCGGGGAGGGAGTTAGGCTATTAATGGGCTGCCTGGCCGGCTGAGCAGAGTCCCAGCCCCTTGAGAAAAGGAGATACCATTTTCAAAAGGGCTTTTATTAAACTGTCCCCACACAGTGCCTCCTGCCACAATGGCCACAGCCCTGGTGTCCGCCAGGGGAAGGGCCCTGTCAGTGTTCCCGTGTGGCCGAGGCTGGGCTCGTCCCTGGAGCAGAGGAGCTGCCCTTGTTTGGGGTCCCCGTGCATGTCTGGCTGCTTCTGGAGGCGCTCAGAAGCTGCGGGAGAGACTGTGGGTGCTGGTAGCCGAGGGCAGGCTCTGGTGCAGGGAGGGGGGCCTGTCTCTTCAGCACACACCCTGAGAGATACTCTTAAGATCCTGGGCCTCCAATATACCCCAGTGCCCCCCTGGGGCCCAGAGGGAATACGTCAGATTGGACGATGGGGTGGGACGGCAGGGCCTGTGTGTGAACAGGGCCCCGTCTTGAGCTCTTTTTGCTGCAGCTGGCAGAGCCTGTTTCCCTTTCTAACAGGTAACCTGGCCCCCCAGTGCTATGACTCTCCCTCAGGAAGCATGCTTGGCCACTGCTGCTTGTCATTTTCACAGCTGTCCTGCCGCGCTGGCCTCGGCATGCTCAGTGGGTTGCAAGCATGTGTGACAGACGGGCATCCATGTTGGGTGTGTGTGTGTGTGTGTGTGGTCAGATGTGGGCTCCTGCATGTATGAGGAGGTCCAGCTGAGTGTGAGCATGGGGCGTGAGCGAGTGTGACCCCAGTCTGCCCGCTTCTCGGCCCCGCCAGTCTCAGTAAACACTGCCACCGAGGGGGCTGCGGTGGCCCGGGCCTCACAGGAAGTTGGGCTCCCGCACCACGAGGCAGGGCGGGTCC